CAACGGCAGGGAATCAAATCCCGCAGTGCCAGACGTGTTCCGCTGCTGAAGCCAGTGCATGTCCAGGCCCGTCTGAAGTTTGCCAGAGAGCACATGGATGATACAGCAGAGGATTGGGAGAATGTCATGTGGTCAGATGAAACCAAAGTAGAACTTTTTGGTATAAACTCAACTTGTCGTGTTTGGAGGAAGAAGAATACTGAGTTGCATCCCAAGAACACCATACCTACTGTGAAGCATGGGGGTGGAAACATCATGCTATGGGGCTGTTTTTCTGCCAAGGGGACAGGACGACTGATCCGTGTTAAGGACAGAATGAATGGGGCCATGTATCGTGAGATTTTGAGCCAAAACCTCCTTCCATCAGTGAGAACTTTGAAGATGAAACGAGGCTGGGTCTTCCAACATGACAATGATCCAAAACACACCGCCCGGGCAACAAAGGAGTGGCTCCGTAAGAAGCATTTGAAAGTCCTGGAGTGGCCTAGCCAGTCTCCAAACCTCAACCCCATAGAAAATCTGTGGCGGGAGTTGAAAGTCCGTGTTGCTCGGCGACAGCCCCAAAACATCACTGCTCTCGAGAAGATCTGCATGGAGGAATGGGCCAAAATACCAGCTACTGTGTGTGCAAACCTGGTAAAGACCTATAGTAAACGTTTGACCTCTGTTATTGCCAACAAAGGTTATGTTACAAAGTATTGAGTTGTATTTTTGTTATTGACCAAATACTTATTTTCCACCCTGATTTACGAATAAATTCTTTACAAATCCTACCATGTGGATTCATGGATTTTTTTTCCACATTCTGTCTCTCACAGTTGAAGTGTACCTCTGGTGCAAATTACTGACCTCTGTCATCATTTTAGGTGGGGGAACTTGCACAATCGGTGGCTGACTAAATACTTTTTTGCCCCACTGTATATGGTTGTACGGTTTTATCTGAAAGTTATTAATCAAAGAAAAGTAACATACTGGTTACTTTTTTGCCTTCTGCCAATACAGAGATTTGAACAAGATCAACATCTTCACATTGGCTAGTCTAACACCTGGCTCTATTTATCTTATACAGTGGATAATGTGTTTATTGAATACTGAATGTCCAGTGACCTAGCTCTAGCCTTTAATCACGTAAAATAGTTTTGGACTTTATGTTGCATGAAGTCCAAAAAGCTCAGCAAACAGCACATTATCCAATTATCGGATGAAATAGCTCAGATTAATTATAATTGGCTCACAAAGCCAGGCTGAGAACCATTTAAGTTTTCCTTTGGGCTTTCACTTTTAAAATTTTCAATAACTTCCTCAGACTGGACCCCACAATGTCAAAACGCCTGTTCAGCCCTGCAGCACTTTGAGCCCCCTTGACGGTAATTCTTTGGAGAGTTTTCCCTTTCTTTTTTTTTTTTTCTTTTTTTTAACTTTTCAGTGTTTACTTAAGATGTATGTTTGCAAAGGAAAATTGGGTCTATACACTGAACCTTAACCTCAAAACTTTCATAACAAGTTTATTGTTTAGTCCAGTGCCAGTTGCAGTCTCAAAGTTATTACAAATTCCTCTGTAGAAATAATAGTACAGATAGAAGTAGCTTAGACAATCTTTGAGCTAATGGTTCTGAACACTCCATTTATCACTGGAAAGTTGACACTAGAGAAGCGGATAGAGAAGTTTATGATCTACCCGCAAGTGCGAGGGTTAGCAGCTCTCTGCCAGTAAATCATTTTATTTTAACATTTATTTTCTGAGTGCTTTTCCAGTGTTTTGCTGACTTAGTGTGGTCAGTTTGGTGCTGTGTTATCAGAAGTGCTCTAAACGTTTTTTACTACTAATAATAAATTCTTATATCGTGCAACAGTGACCATCAAATTCCAAACAGGGATAAAGCTGACAGTGGCTGAACAAAGTATGTCTATATACATGTCTTTAAAAACTCTAATATTTGTGTGTACTGCTTACTTCACTGCCTCCAGGTGGCCAGAACAATCATTTAAAGTCATCGTTTTGGTTTTCCTCATTTTCTTGTCGTATGCATACTTTTACAGCAGTGGAAGCTCATATTAAACAGACAGGTCTCGGCTCTGTATGATGTCAAAGAGAAGGGATATCCTTAATGTGGTCATATTAGCAACATGGCAATGGTTGCGAGCCCCAAAGCCCCACTTACCTGCTGTCCATACATACTGTTTGTGAGGGGCAGCCAATCAGAAGAAAGCTAACTGGAAAGTAAATCGTGTGTGGAAAGCTGTGTTGAGCTTGGCATGACATAGAGAGCATGTCTCAATATTGTCTCCTTGACTTCAATTTAATTAATTTTGTGATGAGACTCAAACATCTGCGACCCCCTAATGTGAAAACACAGGTAGATAAAACTCAATGAAGGAAATGTAAAATGAATCTGTTCAAATCTGCAGCTCTCTCTTTCTCCCCACTTACTTTCAGTATTTCACGGCATGGATTTTCCTCAAAATACGTGCACCAAAAGTCAATTAACAAACACGAAGGGCAAGTTCAAAGCAGTTTTAATCGCATTTCCATATATTTCCATACAGACATTACCAAGTCTAAATATTTTCATTGTTAAATTGGCATTTTCGTTCTTATCGTCTCCACGCAGCGTCATCGTGAATTAAACAGCAAACACAGACCATGCACTGCAAGCCTATTTTCTTCCTGACAAACCCATGCAAATTTAAAATCTGTAGTTAATTACATGTTACCAGTGAGAGAGGAATCAATTTTCCAGGACTTTCTGGACCTTATTGTGACATAAGTTGCTGGAAGGTTTCTCAGGGAATTATGCACCAGTCGTGCTGGAATAGCTCCACATAAATCAGACATTAACAGTTCTTCCTGAGGTGAAGGCTTCGACCTCTGTTTTTTCTGGTCCTGATCAGACAGGATGGATTTCAACACAAAGGCTTGCTGTGCCTCATGTTATTGGCACAGGTTCTGCCCACATTAGCTCCCTCCAGGAGTAAATCAGACAGTCGGTCCAGACCAAGGCAGGTGGTGAGGGGGCTGATGAGGCCGTAGAGACCCCCTAAAGCGATGCTGATGGGCCAGCCAATGAACAGCAGAACAATGAGCCATATGATGCACCAGAAACATGACCCGCAAGTAGCCATCTTAGTCTGGAAAAAAAGAGAAGAAGCTTAGAATGATGATTTCCCCCAAGGTGGGCACACTTTCCAAAGGCAAATGCTTTTACTTTAGTTAAACAGCTCTAACACACTGTGCGGTAAAGAGCACTTTAGATGGCATACAATAGTGGGTCAGTCACCTCAGTGGCTACTGTGTTTCCTGTGAGCGGCAGTGCTTCTTTAGTGATGATAGGAGATTATTAGATTGAAATGTGTCATGTCAATGATCTGTATGTACAGGATTAGGCACCAGTCTTGACAAAGCACGCTAAGCTGGTAGTAATCACCAGATCTGCATACCCACTGGAGGTCAAAACTTACACAATGCTGAAGACCTGTGCAGGCACATTAGTCAGCCACTATGAGCAGATCAGCAGAGATCATAACTCATAACAAGTATACTGTACTGTGCAAAGTGTGCATACATCTGACTTGATGATTTATATTAGTATAGCAGCAAAAACGTGTAAAAACCTAATTATGAGAAAAGTTTTTTATTTTACAAAATGCAATCTTATGCCTGAGCAATCAGGCTGTAAATGTTTTTGTCCAATAAAACTGTACAAGATCTGCCCCAAGGACAGGCCTTGAAGTTGAGATTGTAAAACTGATGGTTTTACGAGCGCGAAAGTGTTGTGTGTTGTCAGATTCCTTGATCTTAGTTTAGGTTTAAGACACAATGGTCAGATCCTCTTCCCCTCCAGGCTTTGCTGTCTTAACTCTATGTAATGTGTAATTTCCTGTTGTGACACTGCTGTCCCGTAGTGTTGGGCAGTAGATTAAAGATTCAACACGAGTTTGTCCCATGGTGGATCCCGTGCTTCGGTAAACGCTCTCACTTAAAACAAACAAACAAAAAAAGACGAGGTAGAGGAACCACTAAAGTACAATGATTACAGCAACATGATGTGAAAATAATTAAAATTCCTCTTCTTCAGCTTTTTTTTTTTTTTGCTTTTGCATTGTTACATTTGATCACAAGCACCTTTAAATAACCAAATACCAAACACAAATAAACCACCCTAAATCTGAACCTATTAAAAGATGTCAATTTTATCAGAACCTCTAAATTCACCTTACAAGTCAGCAAAACGCTAATGATTATTCAACACAGTGCGACTGCATGCTGTTAGTCTCACTCATGAATCAGCCCTTAGCAAAGGTTAGAATTGAGAGCTCTGCAAAGTAGCTATTAACCCAATGAATACCTGCCGTGTGAGTACAAAAGACATGTTCACCTTCAGCAGGAAAGAAGAACGGTTCTGGAGGACGTGTGCACCTGGTTTCCTTCTTGCTTGTAGAAAATCTCCCTGATCCTCCTGGAGATTCACAGAGATGATGATGATGTGTGTGTGTGTGTGTGTGTGTGTGTGTGTGTGTGTGTGTGTGTGTGTGTGTGTGTGTGTGTGTGTGTGTGTGTGTGTGTGTGTGTGTGAGCAGTAGCCACGTCCCACCAGTTAGCTCTAATTTACTACAACAAGGTACCACAGGCAACTAGATTCTCATGAGGCAAGCTGAAAGCAGAAGTTTAATAGAGGCAGGATATTACACAATGCAGACATTCATGTGACTCAAGAGAAAAGTATGCCTGGTGTCATGGGTTTCTAGGAGCTGGTAATGCAACAGAATATTTGATACATCTGCACCTAGGCTAGTTGTTCACTCTTAGTGTAAAACCTATAAAATATTTAATCCTTATGTGACACAGTACACAGATATTGTTGTTGGCTCCATGTCAAAACTTTCAGCAATTTATATGTGCCCAAAGTCCTGAGCCAACAGAGGTAACCTCTTATCTAACCACTCATTCTAATCCTTTCCTTAGCCAACAGAAACACGTGTCTTGTGACTCCAGAATACCTACTTTATACCTTAACCCAGAGTGCCCTGCACTCAGGAGACAGGAAATAAGAAAGACGTTTCATGGCTCCACACTTGACTGAGTTCCACTGATGTTACTCCACATCCAGCAACACATGGTTCTCCATCAGGTCTTTTAACTAACCCAGGCACAAGCAGCTGTGCAGCTGACCTGTTCCATCAACCTGCCTGAGGTATGATGTAACAATAAAAATAAAATGCTCTGGTGCATGACAGTGAATTAATTTCCGGTCTGTGTTTTTGCCTGCAGGGTTGTTGACTGTGCTAACCTCTTCATTTTAATTAATTTATTGATGTTTAAATCACCAAGTTCCGGCTGTTTTAAGTCAACATATATAGTTTGCCTGCTTGATTGTTTTCTTCAATCTGGTCATCATATGTTAACCCTAACATTTATTCAGCTGTGAAAACACTTTGCTGTTAGTGCACAAATCATGAATGGCAGATAACTTGAAATAGTGACTGACCTACAAATGGAGCTTTTTTGAAGCTTCTGTTGCTGATACAGGCTCAGCCAATGAAATCTGAGCTGTACTTTATGCAGAATGAAGTAGATGAATATATAAAAGTATCATGACAGAGATTCTATCAGTCAAAGAAACCATCTTTTAAAAGAAGAGAAATAATGGGGAAAACCTAAGGTATGTCAAATTACACCAGAAATGGACTGAAACTCAGTGACGACAGGTCTTTTGGAGCAATGACTCCAAACATGTGAAATGTTTGGTTTAAATCCTTTTAAGTACGTAGAGGAGATCAGGGAAGGGAACAACAGTGAGTGTTTGCAGACATTTGTAGAAGGTTGATCTGATATCGTCGTGTTGGTGTTGTTCCAGGATCAACGTTGCAAGTGACCAATCAGAATGTTGTGACGTCATACTTTTGCGACTTCGGGAAAAACCGGCGTAAAACAAAAAACTGTACTTAAGCTGCGTGAAACCGCCTCTGTCCACCGATCAACGGACCCTGACCCTAATCGTAACCCTTTCATAAACAGTAAGCAGAATTGATATTGTCCTTGCAACATTGGAATTTCATAAATGCACGAATGGCTTGGCGCGCAAAGGAATAACGTCACAACAATGTGATTGGTCACTTGCAATGTTGAACCTGGAACAACATTTTCATGATGGTCTGGGAACAACACCAACACGAGGATATCAGATCAGCCTTTGTAGAACACAGTGGAGACTTCTCAAGGTTTGGAGTTGCATTTCAGCCAGTGGTGTTGGACATTTTGTCAAAATTGATGAAATTCTGAACAAAGGAAAGTACCATCAGATTCTAATCCACAATGAAATGCCATCTGGAAAGTATGTGATTGGAAATATCATATTTTTTCAGCATGATAATGATCCCAAATACACTGCCAGTGCACTAAGATAGTGTTTCTCTGTGTGTTTTTCTATCAGTCTTGGACTGACCCCTCCCCGAGAGCCAGGACTTTAAACATTATTAAATCAGTGTGGGATCATCTTGACAGATATGGAACAAAAGGCAGCCAACATCCAAAGAGCTTTGAATGTCCTTCAAGAAGCCTGGAGACTACTTAAAAAAATTGCAAGTGAGTTCAAGCTGTTTAAAGAATAGAGGTGGTCATACCAAATATTGACTTTCAATCTTATTAGAATTGTACAAACTCTTTTTTTTTGCCTTATATACTGTATTTATATAAATGTTTGAGGGGAAATGAGGAGGGGATTAATACTTTAGCACAGAGCTGTATGTGTTGGTTGTGTGTGGGACACCCATAGAATGGTATTAGTATAATGATGATGCCACAGTCTGAATAGATTTTTTTTAATAAAGTACTGATAGTAACAAAAATCAAATGTTTTAGAAAAAAATAACAAAACATCACAATGATCTTCTCTCAGTAGAAAACAGATTTAAAATAGGTGACTAAGCACTACATTTCTCTTCAGGGGATCCACTTGTTCCCTCTATGGTAGTCCCATGTCAGGATGTTCTACTGTTCTTGCTCATCTGCGCTCTCTCCATCGCTGTCGCTGTCTCTACCAGGATGCTCTGGCATCTTAGCATGGCCGTCAGTATCCTTGTTTCCTTCCTTCTCGCCGGCGTCCTCCGAGTTTGGCTCTGTGCTCGCCGTTCCTTCTGGGTTTTCCTGCTCCATGGGGGTTTCCTCCTGTGGCTCCTTAGATGTAGCAGTGGTCGACAAAGCGCCAGCATCTTTTTGGGTCTGTTTTGGAGGCAGAGCCAGTTCTTGCTGTTGCTGCTGAGAAGCCAAAAGAAAAGGGAAATGTTCAAAACACAAAGGAAAATATTTCCACTTTTTTTGGCATTATATTGTCAAATATACTCAGCTAACTGATTATAAAGAGCACACGGCCAAAACTGATGTAATCTTATACAAAAACCCTGCAAGGAGTCCATCCTTTGCAATTTTCTTTAAGTCCTTTTTGCAGAGCCTGTCAGTCTACCACAATGCCACTGAACACCACTATGAACAGCAGCCTCTAAAACGTCTATTACATTACACACGTCTACGCATATGAAGGAAAAAATAAACATCACTATCTTCATGGATTTACTGCAGCACTCAAAATGCATTAGTTGGATTTAGGTGTTCGTAACAGCGTGGCAAATAAGTGTTTGACATATAGGTGTATCTACAGGAACATATTCTTTGTTGAGGGTATTTTAATAGAGATAGCTTTATAATAAAATGTCTCTTCCTTTTAAGTACACATGTTTTTAGTATCTACTATTATTTCTCTATAAATGATGATAAATGTATGTTGAAAAACTACATTGTTCTGTGTAGCCCGTTCCTTCTCTACATTTCTTACATCTGACCTATTTACTGTACTCCATTAAAAGTTAAAGATTAAAAATACAAAAATGGCAGCTGGGGACAGGCGCTGACAGCTGCCAGGAAAGTTGATGACATCTGTAAGTGTGTCAACGCAGGATGGTTGCCAGTTTTTAAACTGCCTCAGGTGTATCACAGAAGAAACTTTTATGATATCGCAGTATCATAAACATAGTAGGTGTGCTGCTGGTTGATTTATATGGCTCCTTTCACACAGTCCACTTTGTGGTCTTTACCTGTCTGTACTGCTGGGAGGTCTGGATCATGTGCATGTACATATTATACACCAGGTTGGCCATTTCCGGCATGTTCTTCACAATTTGGTCAGGCTGTCCAGAAGTATCTCGCTGAAAGGTAGAAACAAAAGAAGTTTGATTTCAGCCCAGGATGCGATCAGAGAGGAATTATAATGAAGAACTTTTATCGGTCTTGCTAGGGATCACTCTTTCAGGCACACGGACTTGGTTAAGTATTGATCCGAGGTAAAATGTGCAGGGAAATTACAATTCAGCAGCCCACTGCTACCCGCTGGTTATTTCAAACAAATTTCCCTCTCCAGTGATCACTGCTCATGTATTACCAAAGAAGTCGGGGATGCAGAGTTTTTAATTTGATAATATTAGTATGCAGACAGAGTCTTGCAGGCTAAACTGAAGACTGAGGCAAGCAGAATATTCAATCTGCTTGGCGGATGCCTCTTAAATACAGGGGAGATGCCCACAGAGGCCCTGGGGGCATCATGTCAAAGTATACTACTCCACAGTTTAACTTTGTGTGCTTTCACTGCAGTAAAACCTTCATTAAAAACACTGGGGGAGAGAATATGATAACTGCATATGATTATAGATCGAATATGTATGTTTCCATATGAAGCTTTAGGCAGCTTTGTTTTTTTATAGCAGCTTCTGAGTTAGCCCCGTTAAATAGCCCGTGACACTTCCAGTTGAGTGTTGCTTGACAAAGTCTGACTTTTAATCTACATGTGCGTGTAAGCAGCGGGGGTTTACTGACTCTAGATAGATGGGCTAAGCAGGGGCCACATGTGTGTGCCCGAAAGAACTGTCCCCCATGGGGATGAACACTCTAGTGTCAGAGAGGCTATTGGGCATTTTAGACATCACTGTTGCCAAACACGCCTGTCAGTGAGACACTGTGACCAGACAATGGTCGTTTCATGCTGGTCAGTCGGTGGTTTTGTCTTCTGACCTTTGAGGTTAATTATAGCCATAACTGTGTTTCTCATCTTTGCAGCTGGTCTGCAGAATGCTCTTACCAGACTGGGTAAAGCTGCAGTAAGAAGTGGGACCAGTGAGGACCAATATTCTGAGTGGAATGAAGATTCCACTCTGAATATAAAAAGGGGGGAATTAGACCGAGCCAGTGGGCTGTAGCGGCAATGACGTGGTGGGATGGTGAAGACGGCACGAATTTTATGGAAATAGGCACTGGCCTGAACCGTGGGAAAGAAGCTCAGTTCTTATCAGCATATCTCCCACTTGAATATCTCATAATGGGGCAGATCTAATATGGTAGGTTTTATGAGATCAGCATGAGCATGGGTATGACTGCTTACAGGCTGTTCCTGGTTGTAGTACTCGTGTGGTCTAATGTGTAGCTGCAGTGGTCTGGCAGTGAGCTGGTTGAAGGCAGGAGTCAATTCGAAGCAGTTCTGAAACAGTGACACTCGGGCAAAGATGTACAGGCCCAGTCTGGCTCTTGACATGGCTACCACCAGACGCCTCACATCCCTGTGGAGAGACAGAAAA